AAACTGCGGGACGAGATACGTGCCGAAAAACGTACGGAAGAAGATAGTAATAGGAAAATATAATAATAAAGAGAAAAACAAAAACAATAGTGTGAATGCCTAATGGCATTCACACAATAATAATAATAAAGAGAAAAACAAAAACAATAGTGTGAATGCCTAATGGCATTCACACAATTAAATAAACTATAACAGCATTTTACGCAAGTAATTTTCTGCACAAACTGCAATACGCATGTACTTTACAAAACGGTGTAAAATAAATTTTGGGTAAAACATGTGTGCTGGGATCAAATTACCAATGGCCCTGCCCTCTATTGCTTTAATCTCCAGATCTGTTAAATATTTAAAGGCCTATTAGAAGCAGTGCATGTCCCCTGCTTCCTTAGCATGCCAGACATTTAAAGTAATATACTGTATCTTCCCATGTTGAGGAATTACAGTTGTTGACATTTTGGTGAAATTTTGGAAGTAGTATTATGAGCAATCTTCTGCAATATTGTGATGTGTCAAGCATTGACATTCTGCTGCACTGCCTTCAGAACCTACAGATCCATTCATCCTTGATTTTATGGATTTATTTTAACAGACCACAGCAAGTGTTTTTAAAAGGTTTTAAGTCCAGTAAGTTAGTTTTAAATACAGGGCTCCCCCAAGGTTGTGTTTTATCTCCCCCTCTGTCCACACCAGTAACATCACATGTAGCAGGGAAGGGATGAGTCTTTTTTAAATATGCTGATGGCATGCCCCTGGTAGCCCACATGGACAGTATGGACACACTCATCCAGTGTCAACTGGCAGCTGATCACCTGCTCACAACACTTGGTGAGAAATCACTTGAACTTAATATTACAAAGACAAAGGAGTTGTGCTGTGTGCAAAACTAGAGCGGCAACCGCTTTGCAGCTTTGTAAGCCTTACATGCTTTTATAAGCTTTATAAGCTTTATAAGGGTAGAGGAGAGAAACAGAGGGAGATAGAGAGCCAGCGAAGGCAGTGAGTTTAGGCAAGTAGGGTCTCTGCAGAACGTGTTGTCCTGTGGGCAGAGAAGGCCCAAATCGTCATTGGCCAAGGTCTTAATGTGGGCGGAGATGGCCCAAGAGATGTGGTTGGTCGTATTGACAGTGGGGTATGAGGCTGGAGGCAGCGGGGACTGGCTTGGTCGAGTCGGGCAGGAAGTAACATGTTTTTTTAAGATTAATTTTAGTCATAGCTTGATAAAGGAAAGTGCTAGCTGCACGGAATTTGAATGTCAAACATGTGAAAGGATGTGTAACAAAATGGCTTGTTTAAAACACCCCTAAACAGCCTGTAAAAATATTGATTTTTAGCTATCGTTTTACGGGCTGGTTAGGGATGCGTGAACATTTGTAAAATAAAACTGTGTGTAACCAGTCTCTGAACAGCCCTGTCTAATCATAGTTCAGAGTAGTGATGTTATTGTCCATCTGCATGGCCTTTGGCTTGCTTTCGGACACCAGTTCACAGACAGGAGTGGGAGGAGGGATAGGTGTGAAGAGCATCACTTGACAAAAACATCCATGAAGAGTTTGAGACACCCAGTCTTCAAGGCCACATGGGGAGGGGTGGGGGAGATTGCCAAATCAGATAATCACAGTTGTTTAGGGAACAGGCTGACACAGAAGATTTGCTTGTGGTGTGCCTCACCAGAAACTCTCAATGGTAAAAAGTTCCAATCAGCCAAATTTGTTGGTTATCCCTCGCCCCACCGAGCATAAATTTCTCCAAGATCATACATTCTCACCAGCGGGCTCAAGAGCCACAGCGACCCTCAGCGAGGATCCCATCCAGCCTGCAGTTCATCTCTGCCAGCGTCTGAGTCTGAGCGTTGACAGCCTAGTATAAACCATCACATAAGGCAGGCAACCTCCACAGGGCCGGAACATCTGCCAACACTTCCTGTATTTCACGATAGCCCAGATATCCACCACCGCCGATCAGTAGAAATCCTGCTATCATTTATCCAATTATGTAAACATCTTAGACATCCTCAATCAACAATGGAGAAAGGCACATTAGCTGYGTTTCCATTGCAAATGTGCACAAAAATTTGTCAATATTCTGTTAATGTCAAAAAAGCACATTTTYGCAATTGCAGTGTTTCCATTAAGTAAGAAATGCTATTAAAGTCGCAGGTTAATATTTTTGTTCTCGCGATAAGTCATTACAAACATGGCGGCAATGGATGTAAACACATAGCATATTGCTACCACAACACTAGCGCTCATCATCAGAGGAGATGTCAGCATTTTATCGAGGCTTTCGAGTGACAAGCCTCTACCTGGGAGCGGCTACGTATGCTATTTTTGGGAAAATGTAGTTGTGAGTTTAATACTTTCTTTTACTACTTCGGTGATTTCACTACTACTTTTACTTCCTGTTATCTTCTTCTTCGTCATCTTTTCGCCAGTAGAAACAGCCGGTTCTTGGTCACGTGACTCCTGTGATGCAAAAAAGTGTTTCCATTGCAGTTTTGCGAAATACATCAATTCTGATATGACTGAAAAAACACCTCTTCCTAGCGCAAAACCATTTTGTCGAAAAACATATATGTTTTTTAAACTGACGTGTTTCCATTGAGCAAATTAATTTTCGAAATTTTAATTTGGGCATTTTCATGGTCAATGGAAACACACCTACTGACAATGGCAATAAAACTGATTCTGATTTTGAACACACCCAACTGCACATGTGCCATCCGGACAAGAATGCTTGCCTTCGCCCAGTTTCCATGTAGAAAGAAAAAATGCTCAATAACGCAGACAGACCAGCTGACCAAATCCATAATTTCTAGTTTTGGATGATATGTAAATGAGGCTCCAAAATGCAGCAAAACGTGGTAGGTAAAGGAAGGCTGAAGAGAAAGGGGAAAAAAGCTTCCGCTTTCTCCAAGAGCTGAAGCAAAATAAATAAATAAATAAATAAAAAAGTGTAGAGTGCTTTAAATACTTAGGGACAATAATGGACACCTGTTTGTCCTTCCAAACGCAGTCTGATATGAACTACAAAAAAGCTCTCCAACGCCAACATCTCCTCAGAAAGTTAAGAAATTTTAATGTTAGCAAAAATGTTTTAATCATGGTTCAATATCATGTCGTGGTACAACTTTCTCATGGATAAACAGAAAACAAGACTCTCACGCATAACCAGTCAAGCTAGTAAAATAACTGGTTTGGTACAAACTCCACTGTCCCATCTGTATGAGTGTGCAGTGATCAGGAAAGACATTCTAATCACAGAAGAACCCTCGCATCCCCTCCATCGCTCATTCAGTCTCCTTCCTTCAAGTAGGAGATACTACTGGCTAAGAAGGCAACACACAAAAAGTCATTTATCCCAACTGCAGTTACAGCCCTCAACAATAGAGATATTTTAAAATTTGTTTATGATTTTTTTATCTTGTGTAAATGTTTCTTTGGAATGTTTCATGTAATAGTCGAAGACAAATTTCTGTAACCTTTGGTGTCAGACAAATAAAGCTTACTATATGTTCAAAATGTGTCATGAATTATTTAAATTTAGCTCAATATCTGTAGAACTGACTGAGACAGTTCTGGACAATTGTGTTTTTTTATATGAAATAGCAGTGATACAGTCAATCACTGCCCACAATCTAATGACGTCAACAAATTTGCAACAAAATCAAAGCTTGCAGCTGATGATGTCCTGTGTGCTTCAGCTTACCTTTTTTCCCCTGAGGGTCGTTGCAGTTTTCATGCAGGCAGGCACTCCAGTGTGACCACTGCGACAGCAAGCAATGGTTCTGGCAGGGAATGGAGCAGTTCTGAACAGCCGGAGGTGGCTCAGCACCCTCACACAGCCGAGCGTTCACAGGCCTAGACACTAAACAAACAGAGAAAGAAAAATAATATGGCAAATGATAAACTGAGTTCAAGTAACACCGCACACATTCAGCTGTGGAGTGTGTGTTTGTGTGTGATTGCCAGGTAATACGTTCAGAATTGGGCTCCAAACAGAACTTGTTGCTAGATATTGCAAAGAGAGTCAAGAAGCTGAAGAAACTTCACCCCTATCAAACTGAAAATAGATTTTTTTTGAGACTTGAAAGACAAGACCGTGTTTACTGGCAAACTTTAAGCTTTGAAGTTTGTGGTGAAAATCTGGACACGTTTGACAAAACCCGATGAGGAGTAACAAGTAAAAAGACCGGTGGGACTTGCCCATCTGATGCCAGAAAATATCAAGTAGAGCACAGATCCCAGAGAAGGAAATAACTGAATTTAAATAGGGATATATTAAATCATAACTTAGTATAACCAATTTATTGCTAAGCATAACTGACATCACCCAAATATCTCAAACAGCTAAAGCTACATGTAATGGGCACAAACATTAGTCTTTCTCACAGACTAAAAAAAGTATTTTTGTCTGTTCACATRGGGATTTCAATCTAATATTCCATTTTGATGCACCTCCGCACATCATTGAGAGGCAAATTTCCATTTAAATGAGAGCCCACAGAAAAAATTACTAAACGTCCACTGAGCATTTTGTCATTTTACTCACAGTAATTTACACGGTGCTTGATCTCTTTTGTAAAAATGAGATGCTTGTTTAAACACAGTGATAAAGTGGAGTGGGGATCTTTAGGCTCTGTTCCATAAATTGTGTTTATCTGCAATTGAGTTGTGTTACTGGAGCAGAAACCCAACAGGAGTGAATTGTACTTCACAAAATTTAACAGAGCAAATCTACATATTACAGTATTGTAAGCACTGCAGTGACACGGTCTTCACATTAACCAAAAACTGCGAGGGCCATGTCGGGATAATGGTTACATTCACTATATTTGTTCCTTTTGTTGTTTGTTGTTTTTAGCACAAACACTTGCAAAACCACAAAACAAAACAACCCCGAAAAATAAAAATTACATTTAATAAAAATAAAAAAGCGTTATTAAACTAATTTTAGATGGAAGCTATATTAATGTGGTTTTATTTGACAAATGATTATATTCATTATGCAAAAAGAAGTATAATTTTAAAAAAATGAGAATATATTAGTTGACAGTCATTAAAAAAGTACCCACTGTGCTTAATTAAAATGATAAATAGTTACTACTTATTATGCCTGAGCCTGTTCTTTTTTTCTCCCTTCACAATTTATGGTGATTCATGCTGTAAGACTGGAACTTTTGTGTCTTAGTATCAGCTTGATGAAAATAACAGGTGATACCAAAAAGACTGTCTATCTGCTATTTATTTATTTGTATGTTTTTGGATAAATGGATGCAGTAAATTATCCTCAAAAAAACACAGTTGTGACAGATTTCTATTCATGCACCAAAGAACAATGAATACACCCTCTAAAGTCAAATAAATCTGACTGAAGTTTCATTCTTCTGTAAAAATGTCAAAAGGTAAGTTAATGCAAAGTGGAACAACACATTAGCATTTATATGTTTTAAGTGTTGCACAATGGTGCAAGAATTATTAGTTGTTTTCTCTATGTGTGTGGAAACACAACAAGCCACATCTTTGTTGCCAAAATTTCATTTATTCTCTGTATTTAGTGGCAACATATTTTATTAACTTGAAATAAAAGAAACTTCTGTATTTGACTCCAGCAGTTTGACTTGCTCCACRTATGTTTACCAGTCATTAACTCTTTCCACATTCACTTATTTTGCCTTTCAGTTAGTGTGGTCATCCTCATTAAATGTGTTTCCTGTTTTATGTTGTTTTATTGCTTTCCAAAGGCTGGTATTTTAGACAAATCTAAGGTTTAAAAAATAAAACAAAGTAATAGTGGAGTTTTGAAATGAAGAAAGGACATCATTAAAGATAAAACAAGTCGTTCCACATTTGGAGCGGTGGTCTCTTGTTCAAAGCCTGTGCCATTGTAAACTGTAGCTCAGAAAACCAGCTGAAGATATTGTGCATTTGCACTTTGAACATTTTTTTTTCTTTCAGCATCTCCAAAGGGTTCGTTTTTCACCCCTGCAACCAGAATAATAGTCTGCAGGTAAAAATCGCTTTGAATATTCAAACTGCAGGTCTATGTTTAATTTAATAAGGTTTATTTTAGTCTAATAGGCTTCTCACAAGTCCTGTGATGATGGTGATATTTTTTTACCTTCCTTCCTGTGATGTGGTGCTGAATCATCGGGGACTTGAACACAATAGGTCTTCCTGGTCTGGACCCCCCCTCCACACAGAACACTGACATTAACCTGCCGTCTGTCCTGCTGGCTCAGTAAGGGCAGGATGCGACACTCGCCCCACTCAGTGGTTCTCCACATGTACCTGGCAAAACACATGAGCATTAAAAAAATAACAACTGAAGAATAAATAAGCAAAACYACAGAAAAATGGGGTTAGGGTCACATGTTTTCTAAAGTTTATATCTGAAACGTATCAGAATTCAAACTGTATTCCACCCAGGAACAAAYTGATGAATGAATGCAAAAAAAGTATACACTATCAAGGAGGATAAGCTGTCAGCGAACACACTTCTGTGACAATTGCTTTCCAAATGTTTTGCAAAGCGCAACATAAATTAGCATGTGCATTCTTTGGCAAGAGCCAGCTCTCTTACAGTGTATCAGGAGGAGGGCGGGATGATTATTTTGATTTCAAAACTTCTAAATAAACGTTTGGTTTCAGCTATGAGGAAAGTAGTCATGCAGAAAGCAGTAATATTTGAGAAGATTACCAGAACAACAGCCCCTAGTAATCTATCAAATGCTTAATTTCCGTAATGAGTTTTCCCTAATCATGTAAATCCTCTGCTCTCAGGCACTCCATGTAAATTTAAAGGGGGGAAAAAATAAAAGTCAACCAGCAGGGATTGCAATTCTCTACTGATTACTTGTTCAATGCATTTTATWTTAGCTCAAGTTGGTCTTAACACAACTGTCCATGGAACAATTTGGTTCTGATGATCTGTTTTTTTTTTTTTTTCTTATCCAAGTCTGGTCACTTCCACTAAAACGTGAAGTGTTTACACCAGGCTCAGAATAAATGAGGAAAAAAAATGACAAAACATGCAAAGTAAATGAGCACAGAAAGTCTTAATGTGTTCCCCTTTCAGCAGCTTTTTGGCACAAGTGTTCAAATAAAAAGAAAAAAGAGGTCAATTTAAAAATGATCATTTGGTCTATAAGGCATTTATGAATTATAAAAAAAAAATGTAAACTTAACTTTGAAACAGAACGATGACTATTTAGCAATAAAGGGGGTTACCTGGGGCATTTTGGTAATAAATCCCCAATGATGTTACAAGCTTCTTTTTCCTCAAGGACAGGACATGATTTCCCCCCTCCATGAGGGATCTGAGTTGTGACCCGTGTCCGGAGGCGGTAACCAGGGGACAGATCATTGGACCGGCAGGTCTTAGAGCAGGGACCCCACGATGACCAATCAGATGTATGACAGTCTTGGGGCATCACACACGCCTGGAAGGTCAAGGGGGCGGTGTCCTTTGTGCAGAGACTAAAGATTAAGAAGACTACATTACTGAGTCTGACACTTTAAGATGACTTAACATGAAACAAGACACAACTGCAAGCCCTGCCGCTGCATTTTAGAACATGACAACAAAGCAGAAACATGTCAAAATCATGACATCGTCATACATGGATGGGTTTTTAATGACCCACTCATTTCATTTACATAAAATCTTCAATCACAGCAGTTATTCATTGTGTAACTTGAAGCTTTAACATAAGTTCTTGTTTTAATTAGCATCACCTGTATTGCAGCTAAAAGTAAAAATGTTAAAATAATTAAATAAATGCACTTTAAATAAACTTAAATGCATAGCCACAATGTTGTTCAAATCGACATGAGCCTGGATGGTGATGAATTTTTGATGGAACTTAAACATAAATCAAACACTGTAGGTGTGTTTTTCCTATGG